GAGGGTGAACTTGTCCAGGTCAGTAGCAGCAGAGGAGATGGGGCCGGGGTCTCCTCACCTGCCTCAGGCGCTTTGCCCTCAAGAGAGTGCAAGGCTACTTCCCCTTGCTGTGCTCCCCACCGCCATGCCAAGTGGCCGAGCCAGGTACCAGCCCTGGAACCAGCCCCCAGTGCCCAACACCAAGGTGACACTTGGGATCTCCTGCATGGCTGACCCCTTCACCCCAGCCGTGTTCAAACCCAATGTGGGTTTGTCCCTGCAGATGGGGCTTGTTCTGCTCTGGGGTCACTGGTGACCCGTGGCAGGGGTATTCCCTTGTGCTATGGCCAGAAAATGTGTCACTGTAGTGATGCTTTAGTTTGGGGGGAAAAGATACAAAACAGGTGAGTTTCCAAACCTGCCAACGCAGCTTTTTCCATGGAGGGAAGGAGAACCTTGCTGCAGGGCACCAGGATCACTTGAAGTTTAGCTGGGTGTGAAATGTAGCTGGAGGAGAGCATGAACGAGAAAAAAATATCCCCTGGCCCCCATTAAACGCAATGCCAGGCTCTGCAGGGAGGCCAGGCCACGTTGGAGCAGGGCAGCACAGCCCTCAAGTGCCTGCTCCAAGCAATGGTTTTGCCACTGTAGCCCATTACCAGGTTTCATTCCCAACCAGCCAGGTTGTCTTGGCTAGCAGAAACCTGCTAGCAATGACACTAGGTAAGAGCTTGTGGGCTTTTTTTTTTTTTCTTCTCCTTTTAACCTTTATTTAGGAACTAGATTATTCACTAAATCTACAAGGTTTCTCTGTACAGGTCCCACCAGGTGAAGAGCAACACTGAGATTTCTGCACGCAGCCCTAGCTCGCCATACACATTGCTATGGAGAGCAAGAGCTGACCCCTGCATACAGGATAAATAGACAGCCTCATGTACTGTACCTGTCATAAATTACAAAGGTGTCATTTTGGAAAGGATGGCTGAACTCGCTGCGGCTGGAAGGAAGGAGGAGCTGGGAAATCAAAGGAGTGTCGCCCAAATCAAAGGCACCAAAAATAAAAAATAAATACCCTGTGGGCTCGGCTCTGTGCTGCCAGCACCACTGGGTACATTGTAAATCAAATTTCACAGTTATCACCGCCAGCCCTGGTACCAGCAGCCAAGCCTAGTGCAGCAATGGGCTCTTTCTCTTCCTCTTCTTCAAAGTTGCAGCTCATCCAAGCAGCTGAGGAGCATTTGCTGAGAAGTGGTGTGACTTGGCATGAAGGTGCCTTTTTTTGACTGGTTTATTCCCATTTTTTTGTTTGTTTTCTAACCTGGGGAACATACAGACTCAGAGTAAATGAAATGGGCCTGTTCCCAAAACACATTAAGAAAAGGAAAGGAAAGGGGAAAAAAAAAAAAAGCACTGCACAGGGGGACCTTTGAGGTAGTCGAAATTTTTTCCTTTCAATGTCTGGCACAAGAGAGGGGGAGAGAGAGCGAGAGCGCACGTGTGCCTGTGTTTTGCTGTGCGTGGTCAGGGCCGTGGCTGTGCTGTATCCATCCACGTGGGGACATCCGAGTGGGCAAGCCCTGGGCAGGGGGACATCTGCGTGCGCAGAGCCGGTTCCTGGGGACTGGTGCCCACAGACACGTGTGGTTTTGCACACACATGTGGTTTTGCACACGCCTGTGGCTTTGCTCACACCTGCAGCCAGTGGCTGGGGAGCATCCTCTGCCCTGTGCATGGCCACGTCTCTGTGTCAGTGTTTTCCATCAGGGTGGCTGGCTCGTGGCTCCCCTCCACAGCTCCAGTGGCCCTTTCAGCCCAATAATAAAAGGGCTATGTCTGTTGATACCACTCGCTGTCGAGCTCCTGGGCCTCATCCCGTAGAATAAACACTGCAACGACCCTGAGAGGGCTGTTATCCCACTCTGAAGTGACCCCACAAGGGTCTCCCTGCAGCAAGGCCCCGGGATGCCTGCACCCAAGCTGGGGTCCCAGCTGCAGGGTTCTCCTGGGCTGCTCTGTCTGGGGCCAACCAAGTCTCTCTGCCGCTTCGTTGGCCCTGGGGAAGAGCAGCTCGCCCCATCTCTCCCCTTTCCTGCCCGGAGGAAAAAAAAAATCCCCGGGGAATTTT